CAGGCTCAGATGACTTATTCCCACCTCTTTTTAAAGACGGTGGCGACTTTCAGGTTATGAAAGAGACTGAGTTATTTACAAAGATTCAGCGATTAGAGAGTATTCCAATATCGTGGGATGAGTTGATAGTTATTCCTATCTTTAAAAAGTGCTCACATCGTTTCTGAAACAACTATTGGAAGATAAGTCTACTTTCAATTACGTCCAAATTATTGGCTCCCACCATACTTTGTTCAAAATCAAAGAAAGGTTGACTCGCAAAGAGCAGGCTGGTTTTGGTTTTGCTTGATGATGTATTGACCATTTCTTCATCTTCCACTAAATGTTAGAACACCGTTATGCTTATTATAGGCCAAAAATTGTAGTGTTTCTTAACATTAGGGCCGCCTTCAATTCGTTGAAAAGAACTGTTTTCTGGGATTTTTTGTTAAAGGGTGTGCCTGAGAAGTTTATTAACATCCTGAACTCCTTATATACGAACACGTCAAGCAGAGTGAGGAAATACAAACATCTCTCTCCACTGTTCCATTCGAGCAATGGGGTTAGACAGGGCTGTTCAATCTTATTCCTTCTCTTCAACTTTATCATCTATGACGTCGTGGAAACAGCTCTGGTGAATGTAAGTAACGGTGATGTGGATCTGTTACCCGGAGAAGACTTTTCGACCTTGAGTATGTGGACGATATTGTCTTACTGTGACATGGTATCCAAGCCATGCAATCCGCACCTAATCAGTTAGCAGTCAGTGTCCGTAGGTATGTCATGTGTTTTGCACCTTCTAAGTTCAAAGTACTTTTACAAGACTGGCAAGACCCTAATCCTCGAATTGTTCGAGTATCAGTGAAACCATCTCAGATAAAGATGGGCATATCATTCATTCTCAATCCAGGAGATTGGATCGATGGGCAGAACACTTTAGGGACCAGTTCAACTGGCGTTCAGCCACACTTCACTTACCCACGATCCTCAGTTGACCTGAATGGCAAGTTAATGTAAGTCCACCAACTCTTTACGAGGTTGAAAAGGCTATAGGAAATCTGAAGCGTTGAAGAGCAGGATGCCCTGACAGGTTTACCCCTGAGATTTTTAAGGATGGCGATCCAGTATTAGCAGCGAGATTGACTGAGGTCTTAGGTAGAATCTGAGAACTAGATGTAATTCCATCTAACTGGTCCCAATCACTGATTGTGCCAGTCTATAAAAAAGGACAAAAACTCTCTTGTGACGATCACAGAGGAATCAGTTTGACTTATATAGTGTCTAAAATATTAGCTCCAATAATACTTGGACGCCTAACCAAAGCTCGTGAAGAGCAGACTAGAGAAAACCAGGCTGGTTTTCGACCTGGACGTGGTTGTTTAGACCAGATATTCACTTTACTTCAGGTCCTAGAACATAGACATACATTCAGACGTCCCACAATAGTAGTATTTCTTGACCTTAAGGCGGCATTTGACTCTGTTGATCGTGAGGTTCTATGGCAGTGTTTGTCAGTGAAAGGAGTACCAAAGAAGTACATTAACCTCATAAAGGCTCTCTACTCGAACACAGCTGGTCGAGTTAGAGCCTATGGCGAACTGTCATCAGAATTGGTTACCTCAAGTGGTGTTCGTCAGGGCTGTCCACTCTTCCCATTCTTGTTTAACTTTGTCGTCGACATACTTTTAGAGATAACACTTTTATCACCTCAATCTCCAGGAGTTGAACTTTTACCGGGAGACTTACTTGTTGACTTAGAATACGCCGACGACATAGTTTTATTTGGTGAAGACGCTGACAAAATGCAGAGTCTTCTGACCACCATAAGCAACTATACAGACATGTTCGGGATGCGATTCTCTCCCTCGAAGTGCAAAATGTTACTTCAGGATTGGGTTGCATCGGCACCTGAACTAATGATAGGGAGTGAAGTAGTCGAACGCGTCGACAACTTCACCTATCTTGGAAGTCTGATCAGCCCTAATGGGTTGGTGTCTGACGAAATCTCAGCACGGATTCAAAAGGCTCGTTTAGCTTTTGCCAACTTACGTCACCTATGGCGTAAGCGAGATTTCCGTCCAGCAACAAAAGGACGGGTTTACTGTGCAGCAGTTCGTTCCGTTCTACTTTATGGCAGTGAAACATGCCCGATAGGAGTAGAGGACATTCGTAGGCTACTAGTATTCGATCATATATGTCTTCGAAGCATTACTCGTATATCCTGGGACCACCGGGTAAGTAATGCAGTTGTTAGGAAACGGGTACTAGGTAAGGATGGCAAATCGATTCATGAAGTAGCGAAATTTCATCAGTTGAGATGGCTGGGACACGTGTTACGTATGTCCAACCACTGACTGCCCAGACGTGCAATGCTTTATGGTGTAGGAGTAGGTTGGAAGAAAGCTTGGGGTGGCCAGACCAAAACGTGGCACAAATCCATGAAGTCACTGACAATTGGACTGAGCCATGTTGGTAGGTGTAGACTACCTGGTTGGGATTCGCGAGATGATAGCAATCAATGGTTAGAGACCTTGAATGACATGGCTCAAAATCGTTTGCAATAGAGAAGGTGCATCCACTCTTTGTGTTCTACTAAATTCTAACCTTTTGAATTCTTCATGTCCCTATCCTTTTTCTCTTTCCAAATTTATTTCACTGTATTATATTCCTTCAATAACATCTTCAAACCCTAATCTTTCCGATTACTGCTTGTACTCTTACTACTTCTATCACTACAGGATTTGAATCGACAACTTCATCTCTGTGCTAATGTGGTACGGCAACTCGAACTGATGTACGTACGTACGAAGTTCTACGTTGTGACTGACTGGACCCTGATTCTGCACTCATTTTGGGTAGTGAGCAGATAAAAGTAGTCGAGAAGTTCGTGTATCTGGATGGTTGCTCACGTGCTGGTGGTGAGATCATTTCGCGTATAGTGAAAGTCAGAGCGACTTATGACAATCTGGGACATCTTTGGCGCTTTCATTATGTTAATCTGGCTGTAAAGGGCCGAAACTACAACACGTCGGTGAGAACAGTTTCGCTATATGCTTTGACATCTGGCTTCGCCGAGTTGAGGATGTTAGACGATTCTGTTTGATCATCGTTGTTTCCGAAGGATTACTGATATCTAATGGCAACACTATGTTAGTAACGCAGAGGTTCAGGATCTTGTGTTTGGGCATAGTAACGATAATTCAATCGATGTCACCATCTTGAAACACCGAGTTCAGTGACTTGGATATGTACTATGAATGTCATCCCAAAGGATTCCACATCGCGCATTATTTTTCGACGCTGGGAATGATTGGAAAAAGCGGAGAGGTGGTCAGTGCATGACATGTTGTCGTAGTATGGAAGAAAGCTGTACAGAACTGGCTTGTGTTGATCCTTAACGACTCCATGGTTAGGGTCCCAGAGATGGTGCGAACCGGTGGTTTTAGACGTTATTATACATAGCTCACAATGAAATCCCGTGATGATCCTGCTGTGACTTTCTTCATAAAAGTATTGATAACTTCTTTAACTGGAAGATTTCTTTCTGGTTTTATTTTTCCCAACTGTACCTCTAACCATTAATATTATTATTATTTCACTCTCATACATCAATTTCTGTTTGTTGTTCTTTTTATTATACGCAGTTTACATTATCTCTTCATTACCTCATCGTTATCGTATGGCACATATGTATTTGGTGCCCCCTTGTACCGATGTTTGTGTGTCCAAATAAATAAAATAACTATGCTGTTCACAGAGGATCTTAGTAAATCGCAAAGGCAAAACAAAATAATGTAAAAAGATTCCTATCATTTCATCCTTTACACTTTGGGTGACCATTCTTTTGTTCTAGTCTTTTACCTACTTCAAACTTCTGTAGCTCTATCGGTTTATAATTCTTATAGTATTTGATGGATCACTTTTATCCTATGTAAGCTTTATCGATATTTACTGAATTTGTAATTTAGACAGCAGTTTTCTTCTATATTGTAGGACTATTATCATCATTTACAAACTATTTCGTTTGTCTTCAGTTGTTCAGCATTTTCTTTTTCTTCAAAAATCCACTGTTCCATGTTGAGGTAGAGCAAATGCATGTGCATTCCTTGGTAGTGCACATCACCATGAACAGTATGATGATGTTCAGTAATTTGAAGCATTTTTTTTATCTTCACTAGTGATTAGTTAATTCACGTGGATATTTAAAAGCAAATTTTACATTATTTAAGTTAAAATTTTAATATTTCATCCGTATATACGTATAAATTTATCTATAGTTTTCCGTCTCCAAAATCTAATTATTAATTACGGTTCATGTATTTCTGGTCTAGTAACACCTTCCAGCTTGAAGTTGCTCTCAATAACAGATCTCTTCATGAACAGTTTTACTGTGTACATCTTAAACATAGCTTTGTTTTTCAGCTATTGACTTAGTTATATTTTACTTCATTTTGTTCGTTTCTGATTATATCATTGTTTTGAAATGTGACTGGGTTAGTTCACTTTCGAGCTTAGTTCAGTGTTGTTTGGACGAAGTTTCCTCTGGACCCTTTTTTATAACTGCGACATTACGACCCACCGATGAACTACATCTTATAGTTTTCTTTTTGAAGCTTATATAGTTAACAAGTTTCATATACTAGTATGTTTTATAAATCTAGTGATTCAGCAAGCGAATGAAATACCACACAACACTCGGAAAATAAGTGCACTATTCCCGTAATGGCTCTCTAACATAGTCTTCATGAATCGAAAAGACAAAAAAATTATAGTTTATTGTAGCACCAACCAGTGTTGATATTAGGCGAAACGCATGGGTATTCAGAGAAAAAAATAGAAGTGTTTTCGAGAATCAGACACTAAAGATGTAACTTTCAGAGCGCCGAATTCAAATCTACAGATACTAAAGGAATTTCGGCATCGTAACGACTACAAAATCGCTTTATTTTCTGATAAGTGTGGCCGAATTATTTCCCAATTTTAATGATATTTGTTTCCATGTGTCAATCATTTCATTACAGTGAACTTAGAAGGTTGGTATTTCAACCAAATCAAGGGGACCTGTGAAGATATCAATGAAGGTAACGAAGTAGAATGTTCTTTATTCATGCTTACCGATCTTTATTTTAGCTGACATTATATCTTGTGTTGAATATGATAAAACCGGCGACTTTTTAGCAACCGGTGACCATGGCGGTCGAATTGTGATTTTCAAACGAGAAAATGAAGTTAGTTATGAAGTTGATAATATTTAACACGTTTTGAGTCATTTAAAAAACTATTTATAGACTAATTTGTTTTGATATTTAGTGTTAATTGATTCGTGACGATATTTTCAGCACTTGGAAATGTTTTACCTAGGTCCAATAATTGTCTGCTTAGGTGCTTAATGTTTAGTGTAGGAGTGTGTTGGAAGGAGGATAGGGCCGCTCAAACCAACACATGGAATCAGTTCATGAAGTCATTTACTATTAGGCTGAGTCGTGCTGGTTGATGCAGACTACCTGGTTTGGATTCATGTGATTATCGTGACCACTACTCTGAGACGTTGAGTGACGTAGGTCAGAATTGGTGTCAAGGGGGCAAATAGTTTTCTCTTTGTTAACACCTTTGATTCTGAGTCTTAAAATTATTGTGCACTTTTTGCCCTGAAAACTTAATCTCTCTTTGTGAATCATGTTATCTTTACTTAATTATTTTTACTACTGATGATACTGTAACGATCCAGATTAGTGGTATAGCGGCTCGTCTCCAAATTGACACAGCATCCGATATCACCCTAGTGTCTAGAGAAACGTTTAACCTGCTTGGGAAACCGCTAATGAAGCCATCCCAGAAAACGGCTAAAAACGCATCTGGAGGTGTACTGAAACTAGTTGGGGAATTACAGTGTGAATTTTCGTTCAATGGAAATAGCTGTAAAGGGGTATGCTATCTAACAGAACGACCAAACCATGATCTCCTTGGTCTATATTTGTTAGAAAAACTTGGAATAATGGATATACCCTTCAACAGCGTTTGTAACGTATCGTGCCCATCATCAGACACAACTTCACATGCAAAAAAGACAGATGAAAAGGTTCCAGAAATACGGAGTGTAGTAGCAGTAGCAATTCGAAACACTCCAGTGTCGTCAGATGAAGTCAGAAAAGAGACTCTTCGAGACCGTGTTCTACAAGAAATTAAAAAGTTCCACCTAGAAGGGTGGCCCTCGAAGACCAGTTCAACAGAGCTTCAGCAGTTTTATCAACGCAGACTATCGCTTTCAATCATCGACGATTGTCTCATGTTTGCTAAACTTGTCATAATCCCAAAGAAGTTGCAACCGGCAGTCCTCGAGCAGCTGCATGCAGGATATTCCGGAATAAACCGCATGAAAGCGCTATCACGAAGTTATGTATACTGGCCACAATTAGATACCCAACTCGAGCAGCTATCCCGTTCGTGTACAAAATGCGCATTGGCAGCAAAAGCACCACGAAAAGCAGAGCTGCAATCATGACCGATACCACAGTCACCGTGGCAGAGTATACATTTAGACTTCGTTGGTCCATTCCATGGACAAACTTACCTTCTGGTAGTTGATGCATACAGCAAGTGCCCGGAAATTTTCATCATGGAACATCCAACAGCAAGCGGCGACAACTATTCAGTCGTTTCGGGGTTCCAGAACAAGTAGTCAGCGACAACGGCACACAGTCTACGTCATCTATCTTTTCAGAATTTTGTCAGCAGAACGAAATCAGGCATATCCAAACACCTCCATTCCATCCGCAATCGAATGGCCAGGTACGTTCAAAAATGCTCTAAAAAAATCAAGAGGGAAGGGGGACACCGAAGAAATCTTAGAGAGGTTCTTGTTTATCTACCGTTCTACACCGAACCCTCAGACAACAAATGGGGTCTCTCCAGCGGAAGCGTCACTGGGCAAAAAAATACGTACACATTTTGACAGTATTCGTCCGACTCCAGTTCTTAAGCCGCAACGAAACGTGATGATGGAGAGACAGTACAATCGTCATCATGGGGCACAAAAACAATTGTTCAGCGTGGGTCAAAAGGTACTTGCTATGGACTATTGAGGAAAACATCCTGCATGGACAGCTGGTCGGATCGTGCAAAAGAAAAGAAATGTGGTTTACGAGGTGTCCATTGGTCCGGAAGTCTGGGTGCGTCATGCTAACCAACTGAAATCAACCTCGATCGCCAACAACGAAACGCAGCATAGATTACCTCTTGATGTTCTGCTAGATACATTCGAGATCAAAACACCTGAAACAGTCACTGTGCAAACGAAGGATGATACAGCGTCCTTATTACCTAGAAGGTGGACAAACCGGAAGCACAAACCAGTAAAGCGGTTGCAGGTGAACCCTAATACCAGATCCTAGGAATCTGTTCAAAGGGGAGGTGTTAGCGGGAAATAAACCGGATTAAGGCATGTTATGTGCATGATCGTGATGGCGCGCGCTGATTGGCTAATTCTAAACCAATCAGCCCTGGCAAATTATTGGAGAGAAATCTAGAATCTTCTTATGCATATACTATAAATATGTGAACGTTTTTCTAATGATTGATTGCTGTTCACCTACCATTGTTATCTTGAACACAATTTCGTTCCTGTTCAACGTGTTCTGATTTTGGGGTCTTGTCGAGTGTCATTGTATAAGAATACTAAGCAATAGGAGTAGCTGGGTCGTTTATTAGCAAAACAATTATAACAGTTTGTTTTCTGAAGATTCTAAGATACAAAATTACGTCCCATTGTTCAAATTCTAATGGTGAATGATTTTATGGCTGTTTAACTTTTACATTGGCTCAAATGCATTCGCTCGTTGTTCTCTTCTTGATCTTGAATTCTAGTATCGCTTCGTGTACATACCTTTCCACTCAATCTTTTCAAAATATATTGCCAATGCTTTGTGTTTTTTATCATTACTGCTAAATTATTTCAATCACTTTTACAATTTATCTTGTGATAATTTGGTATGACTAGTTGGTCCAACACATCTACGCTGGACTTTACGTTGATAATGTCTGACTGTCTGTCGGACTAACATTCGCTTGTAACAAAATTTTGGTGAATTTATTGTTCTCATTAGGCCAGACCGTTTTTTAAATTACAGACCTAACACATCAAGAACCACTCACAAAAAGGCTGTGTGTGACCGGTCTCAAGCAGTTATCCCTTTGATTTTGTGACCACTCTGTCAAGCCTTGAAGATTATTACCAATCCAATTTTCTTTTCAGTCACCTCAAGAAGAATTATTATTCCCCATTGTCGGCAACCTCTAAGAGTACTCGAGATCTTACAATCCGTGACCAAGTATCCGACATAACAGTTATTATTATCAGTCATTCGATCACAAGTTTAAACTCTGTTCTACGTGATTTAATTTCGACAGCCAACCACCAGGGTAACAGGCTTGAAGTCTACTATACTTGCTTCGGGTTACACGACAGGATAGTGTGTTATTAACTCTTGCAAAAAAATGTTTGACTCAAATATCGTGTACATCACACCTGTTCCGACATACTGAGTTAGATTATTAAGTTAAACTAAAATCATAGTAATTTATTCATCCATCTACGACTCACTCTTTTTTTCTGAAAAATTTTGTAGGATAAACTTCAAAAATGCATTAGTCACAATGTGTATTGTACATTTGTCAGTCATGAACCGGAATTCGACTATCTTAAATCACTGGAAATCGAAGAAAAAATCAATAAAATACGATGGTTACCACGTACTAATCATGCACAATTTCTGCTTTCTACAAATGGTTAGTAATATTTTTGTTCATCTTGTCTTGCTAAGATAAAACTGAATAATTTAAGCTCAGTAATTGTTTCTGTCTGGTTCCACACTCTGATTATCGTGCTAGACTATCCTTTATAATTACTCAAATTAGTCTCACGCAATTTCTTACTGTTTCCAAAATACAAAATGGTCACGTGGGTCAGGGAAGCAGGACTGGTGGAACGATATGGAGATGATCAAATCTGTAGAGGCAACTAGAGAACAGTCTAACTTCTAAATTATTTCATTGATGTTTTTCCAGTCATGAAAATGTGAGGGGCTGGACAGATATATTCAGTCTGTTGTCCCGGGAATATTTTAAAATGTGGAGTAAGAAAACCGATATACCAGAAATTGTGTAAAATATTTGAATGACATTGGTTCGTGTATTTATTGGACAGACTACTTATGTGTAAACATATTTTGTAGCAGGGTTATTTCATTTACTTCTAATAATTACCAAACAAGTGATACATTGTCTACCTCTTTCTCTTCCCTCTCTCTATTGCAGACAAAACGATTAAACTTTGGCGCATTACTGAACGGTGTCGACGTGTTGCCAATAGTAGTTGTATATCCTCTGATTACTTCGTACACAATAATACTACTAGTAATACTAATACTACCGATAATGATGATGATAATCTTGTATTGAATGATAAGAATAACTCATCTATTTCACTGAATAAAATTTATCAGAAAACTGATCTACGTGTACCATATTATGAAGATATTGACCCTGTCATGGATACACATCCTAAACGAATATTTGCTAATGCACATACTTATCTTATCAATTCATTATCAGTCAATTCCGATCAAGAGACATTTCTCTCAGCAGATGATTTAAGAATTAATTTATGGAATTTAGAAATTACCAACCAATCATTCAGTATCCTTTTCTATATTCCTTATTGTTTGTTCAATATCAGGTAGATTTTTGTAGAGGGACTTCGTTCTTTCCTATGTATACTTTTGGTAGGTATTTATAGATCACGGACATTGACTTTAGCTTAAGGAGCCCTGTAGTGCAACAAATGACAATCCGAGTTACAAGTCAATAGATTCTGGATTTGAACCCTAACGAGCTATTGTAGAGCAGTGACTTAAGCATCCAACCTTCTGGTTTTAGTTACTGGTTCAAACGTCAGTTCATCAACTTCCGTGTAATATTGCTGGACCTCACACTTAGAATGTGTCCCCTAGCCAAGCGCACAAGTCTGCAGTTAGTAAGTGTGCGACTCGATGCAAGAAATTAGACTAAGAAAGTATGGAGAGTCACGAAACAACAAACCGTCATTTTGTCGTAGGTATGGTGCTCGTCACTCAATACATGGATTCAGTCTTTTATGAAGTTATATAAGCATGCTTTTGAGGAGTTTCAAATTAAATCCTATGGGATTGTACGCACTTAGCTGTTCGCTAGTTGGCACTGCCTAGCGATATGTTTCTGCGATCCTCCAAAAACTAGTGCTTCTTGTGAGTCTGAACACGCGTCGCCCAACATCAAAAGAAACGCCATCGCTTGGCGTTTTGGGTCACAATGTTACCACTTGTAGGACCGAGATAACGATTGTGATTGAACATTGAGCAGCAAGCGATATTGTGTTTGCGAGACCTTTGGTATGGATGCAATCTTATCGATCGATATACCGGTTGATCTATTAGTTATCAATTAGTGGTAGCTCAGTCTATTATCGACGCTGTTGTACAGGTGAACTTGTGGAGACTAATCACTGTGCATGTCAATATTACGTTTTAATCAAACGGAAACTGACTTCATTATTATTTAGTGATAACTTGTCTATTTTTATTTTTCTCTAATTATTCGACGCAATGTATATACACAATACACTATACTCGACTAATAAATTAGTGAAAATTTTGATCTCGTATTGAATTTATCAAAGACGAATCCATACAGTTATTTCTGCTGTATTATTAATAATAATGAGAAGTAATTCAACAGCCGCTTACGTATATATATATATATATATATATATATATATATATATATAGCAAATTATGAAGTAAGACTACTTTTCTTTAACCCTTTTTTTTAACAAAAAATAATAATAAGATATTGTTGATTTAAAACCTGTGAATATGGAAGATTTGTCTGAAGTGATAACAGCTGCGCAATTTCATCCATCAGCGTGTTCATTATTTATTTACAGCAGCAGTAAAGGTACCATACGTTTATGTGATATGCGTCAACGTGCACTGTGCGATGAACATGCATTATGTAAGTAGTATTCTATGTACTTTATGGTGCAATTTAAGGTTGTGATTTTCGTTTTGTTGGAGGAAAACATTGCTTGAGTTGTGTTTGGTTCCGTGTGATCTGATCGCATCGACAGGAAAGAAGCTTTATAACCTCTCTCCAGTCCGATTATCGATTAGTCCGGTTATACTGCCAGTAGGATCAGTACCTTTCTAAGCACCGATGAACACATCAACCAATAAATGACAACCAAGACCTTAACGCTTACTGATCTCCAAGTGGACAATTAGAAAACGAAGATAAAAAACAATTCTCAATTGTACCCAATTCAACCGTGATTCAAGACCCATACATTTATCTACCTGAAATGACTGGCTAAACAGCGACACGATTAGAGAATCACAATGTGTACATTGACTTAGTCATAAGTGATGCATGATAAGAGGGGAATGGTTAGGAAACGATCAATCTGAGACAATTAGACATATAATAACGACTTATAGATCAAACGAAAGCTTGGGGATAAAAGAATACAAAAATATATCAGTTCAAGAGTGTACTAATTACAAAATAAAAACGTAAACAATAATCCTTCGTATGTTGGTACCAAAAGTTACAATTGAACACCATTCGTTATATCACCTGATGTTGGTTTTATTTGTCGTTCATTGGTCAATGTATTCATCAGTGCTTAGAAAGGTACTGATCCTACTGGCAGTATAGCTGGACTAATCGATAATCGGACTGGAGAGAAAGGTTATCAAGCTTCTTTCCTGTCGTTGTGACTAGATCACACGGAACCCAATACAATCTATGTATCTAGGTTCTTTTTTTTCACCACTGTATTGACGATAACTCTAGTTTTAATTCTTCTTGTTTTACCCCTTCTTTTATTTCCGCTATTTTGCAGCATTTGAAGAAGTTGACGATCCAATGAGCCGGTGTTTTTTCTCTGAAATTATTAACAATATATCCGATTTAAATTTTAGTCATTCTGGTCGTTATATTTTAAGTCGAGATTACTTAACATTGAAAGGTACTGTGTATTTAATGTTTGTTTGAAATCTCTCTGGCTTATTTGTAATTTTTTAGACAGGACTGATTATTTGTTTAACAACTCAGATCAATAGGGAATCATTTATAATTTGATGTGCACATTTTGATTGTACTTCCAAATTCCATTTTCTCGCTGGACATTCAGTGATTATATGTTTATGCATTCAAACAAGATGAGCTCCGGTCTTAGGTAGTATTAATTTCCTTGTTGCTCCCACACATTAAAAGGTTACTTCATGAGTAATTTGAAAATAAAACTGGTTTCGAGGTGGTCTTGGAGGCGTAGTCACAGATCCCAAAGGACAACTAGACTAGTGTTTTATATTAATATTACCACTCAGTAATGCGCTCTTCGCAAGGTCTAGAGCTTTTAGACTCAATCCCTGGTAAAAATGTGGATGCGCACTGCCTAGGAGCTCCATACTAGGACGAAATAGGTCTCTCTTTGGTGCTCCACAAATCTTTAGTACTAATAATCAAGCAAAATATATTAAAGTCTGTTTAAATGAATGCGTCCATAGAAAACAAGAGTAGATTTTATATGATTTCAGGGCTGAAATGTTTACATGATAATTCACTTGGTTCACTCTTGTTTTTTATTTACTCATCGTGATCTCATTCACTTTTTTCTTCCATTCCTTATTTTTTTGTTTCGTGATTCAATTATTTTAGTTTGGGATTTAAATATGCCTCGTCGACCAGTTGAAACTTATCTCGTTCACGATTATTTCCGTACAAAACTATGTGCACTCTATGAAAATGATTGTATATTTGATAAATTCGAATGTCAGTGGTCACCAAACGATGAGTAAGTAATAGGTAATGGTAATAATAATAATTTAAAAGATGAAATATGCTGTATATTGTCAATGGGTATATGAAAGCCTCAGTGTAACTCAAGTATTTATTATTTATTTATTTAAACACATACATATTGGTACAAAAGGGCACCAGATACATATGCGGCACACAAAATAATGAAAGTAGGAAGAGAAAGGGTGAAAAGATAAGGCGGACTGAAATGTACAACCGGAAGACTCTTTCAGTTAAGAAAATTAGAACCACTCTTTATGAAAAAAGTAAAAGAAGGTTACAGCAGGATCGCCACTGGCTTCTATTCTGAGCCATATCTGATAACTTCTCTAGCCACTGTGTTGCACCATCTCTCGGACCCCAGCCAGGGAGTCGTTAAGGACCAACAGAAGCTAGCCCTTTGCAGCTTTCTTTCATATCACGACACCATGTCATACACTGACCACCCCTCCGCTTTTTCAACCAGTCTCAGAGTCGGCAAATAATGCACGACGTGGAAGTCTGTGGGATGACATTCGTAGAACATGTCCAAGCCACCGAAGTCGGTGTTTCAAGATGGTGACACCAATTGAATTATCGTCTCTGCGCCCGAACACACGATGCCGAACCTCTGCATTACTAACATGGTGTTGCCACTGGATGTCAGCAATACTTCGGAGACAACGATGATCGAACACAGAGAGTCGTCTAACATCCTCAATTCGGAGAGGCCATGTTTCACAAGCATAGAGCAAAACTACTCTTACCGACGCGTTGTAGATCCAACCTTTTACAGCCAGACTAACATCATGAAGGCGCCAAAGATGGCCCAGATTGGCATAAGCGGCTCTGGCTTTCACTATACGTACATCGATCTCATCAGTCACGCCACCACCAGCACTTATGTAGCTACCTAGATACACGAACTTCTCAACTACTTCAATCTGCTCACCATCTAGGGTGAGTACAGGAATAGAATCCTGCCAGTCTTGTAGGAGTACTTTGCACATGGAGGGTGCAAAGCACATACCGTACCTGTAGACACTGATTGCCGACCGATTAAGTGCGGATTGTATGCCTTGGGCATTATCGCACAGTAAGACAATATCATCCGCATACTCGAGGTCGAGAAGTCGTTCTCCAGGCAACATATCCACACCGCGATTACTTACATCCATCAGAGCTGTTTCCAGGATGTCATCAATGGCAAAGTTGAAGAGGAATAGTGAGATCGGGCAACCCTGACTATCCCCGCTGCTTGAATGGAACAAGGGAGAAATGAGGTGTTCGTGTACAGGGTCCTTAAGATGTTAATAAACTTCTCAGGCACACCGTTCTTCAATAGACAATCCCAGAGAACAGTCCTGTCCAACGAATCGAAGGCAGCCCTGATATGAAGAAACACTAGGATTGTTGGCCTGTGATAAGTATGACGGTGTTCCAAATGTTAGAACACCGTCATACTTATCGCAGCGTAACTCAAGCCATACAGTCTGAGTGCAACAAGGCCTAGTGATACTATCCAGTTAAACACAAGTGAATTTAATGGAGCGGGTTGAAATCTGCGACCTAATGCTGAAGGTCGAACGTTTTTACGATTGAGCTATATCAGTTCAAAATCGCCTTGCGTAGGCAAGGCGATTTTGGTCTAAAAACAGTGTTATAATTCCAGCACAAATTCTACTACATATACCTAACTATTACGTTAATGAATTGTAATTTAAGTTCCTCCTTGAATGTTGAGTACATATGTAAGTTGTTAGTAACCATGCACCACGCGTGTGTAATACCTAGGTTTGATCCGCTATGTGGCCATGGGTGCACACTGCTACTCAGGAGTCGAATACTACAACGAAACAACTTGTTCAGTGCTTTCTGGTTTTTAATGACTGTCTAACTAATATCAGTTTATGGTGTGAATCATAGAATCCAACACACCGCAAAAGCTTTAAGAAAAAGTTTAGCTATTTTCGAAACCATGGACGTGTTATATGAAGAATCGTTGAAAATCAGGAGTAAACTGAACAGCTATTTTACTCTAGTTTCAGACTCCCTTAAAGGATGTACATATGCGTTACATTTCATTGACTTCAAGATCTATTGGTGTCTTATGGGTGTTATGTATTATGACAGCTGACCGAAACCAAGGGTCAAAACCACCAATCAGAATCTTGATTTCTATGACTAATATCCCTCAGCTGACTGATTACACGTCCGACCGGTCTTAGTTACTTTGATTCCAATTCTAAACCTTTATTGGTCCACGATTCTGTAGCAATTCTCTCTGCCCTGCCCTCACATTAAAAGTAAGTAATCACCTTCAACGTATAATATATATTAAGCAGACATATACAACCAGGCCACACCACACATCATATTAAAAAAAATTATACACAGCCTAAACTATCTGTCAGCAAGGGAGTCAAATAGATAGATACTATAATTATTAATTATTCTAGAAAACCGCTTCCAACTTTTGCAATATATGTTTCGTTACAACAGTAGAGATCTCAATTCTTCAATTGTCCTGGTTGGAATCGTCCACATTTATGGCATTACTTAACGATCGGCGATATATATCTCACTGTCCATATGATTCTTCACTTCTAGTGGTAATGGCTCTTTGTTTAGAACTTTGAAAATCTATCTCGAAGTTTCATTTGTATTGACCACATATAAGATTATGGTTCAATGGACTAAATAAGTCGACCTCTGATCATTGATTTAAGGGCTCAAAGCCATTCACTCCGTTAATTTTAGTTTGAAAAGTTTAATAGCTTCATTAGAATTTATACCTGGATTGTACTTCAAAGCACCCTGGCGTAAATAAACCTATCCGCTCAACTATACATAATCTAAATTAGAACCGGGGAGTAATATTATAGATCACATCTGACATTTTCTCTTCACACCAAAATAACAGTCTAAAGTTCACCAAATAATTAATGCATAGTGGACAATTCATCGTAAACAGTATCTATGACCATTGTTATCTAAAGATTTTGTAAATAGAATGATCGATTTATTGTTGTCAAATCACTTGTTCTCTGTATGTTGTGTAATTGATTATATCACTAAAAAATATAATACTTGATTAGTATGACAGTCGTGGTGTTGTTTGTTTTTTATATGATTGTTATTACTGTTATTTTACTTGTTATGCAATTTTGAAATTACCGATGTTTATCTCTGTTTGATTTGTTTTTCAACTTGGACTAATCAATTTAGGTTTCGACCAATCAAAATCTGTATAAAAATAGCGTGTAATTGATTAGCGGTGAAACTGTTTGACCAGTTTAAACAGTGTTGTTTTTTTGTGAAAAAATAGATGTTCACTATTTCATCTCGCGCGTTTAGTGTTGCTATTAAAGTGATGTAACCCGTTATGTTTTAGTGTTCTAGCAAAACGCCGTTACTTAAGCCACAACACTTTCGGCTTATTTCTCCGTTCATTTAGTAGATAAATGCTGGTATATAATAGTGTAGATTTGTAGTGAAGATTTTATTTTAAGAGTTCTGAGTTATTCGAAAGTTTTCGCTTTGAATACGCTAGTGTACCACAGACCAACATCCCTGATTAAAAGATATATATAATGAGATTTAGAGTTTTGAACTGAAATTTTTATCGAAAATTGCACTCCCGAATCCAGTACGAACGAAAGAAATGGTCAAAACTGCTGTGTATAACACACTACTTGAACATTGGTAACATGACATATAACCTCGATCTTACTGTTATATCTATTTTTCTAAGAGCATCACACTACACATTCATATCGAAGAGATACCTAAATGTAACATATTGGGTTATGTAAGGACGTTCTCTGTGAACTGCATTCAGAGTTATTTTTGACACCTTATTGTTCTGTCCCTCAGTGAAATTCAATGTTACTAAAGTATGTCTCTCAAACACAACTGATCCTCCATGTTCAGAAAAGTAACTCAGCTTTATTACCAAGATCCCAATATTAATACTTAAGATTTTTGAATTCCCAATTGTGCGAAGTGACTCAGTCAAAGGCATGTAGAAGATGACGTTAGATTGGTAAATAATTCGCTCACTCATACAATGAGCCGTCCATACTTGCATCTTTCACTATGTGGGGTTACAACAGTCTACGATTTATCTTTATTTGAACATTACTGAATGAACGACAGTACAATCTTTCAGATGCTAAGTTTTAAATTTAGAGTTTTAAGCGGAAATCTTGAGCTCTTTGAATCAAGTATATGAGTTTAGAAAAGCAACTGAGAAGTGTATTCTTCATATTAGCTTATTTGCATACGTTTATTCACTAGTCTATCGGGTCAAACTTTCTGGTAGTAGTGATATAAGCAAACTAACAAATTTTGTTTTACCAAGGAGTTTTCAGGGAAGAGTTTATTAATCTTTTACATAAATTCGGAAGACAAGTGACAAATTTTGAAGGTACGAACAATCATAATAACAGATTGAGTTGTGTACACAAAAAATAATTACTGGAACGGAAATAAATTAACACAAGTTTAATTAGTACGAAGGAAACAATTTGATCACTCATTTGCTCTGAGGAAGTAGTTTACGTTAAATCTCGAAACGTCAAAAATACAGTTTTTCTACTCATTGAGATGTAACAAAAATATATTATTAACTTTCTACTCAATGGTCAGTTTATTTGGAACTATCAAGTTCAACCTTGGCATTGATTAGTTGTGGAAACCTAAAATTATTCTTTTAACCTGACCAAAACGTGGTTATTATCTAAGTAAGTAATATAAATCTGGGAAATGTATGTGAGATGGTTAAAGGTATTTTAAACACAATAATTTCAAACATATTCTCAACCTCTGTTACTCCTACCCTTTGATGTAGTGATCAAGCTTTCATATTGTGAGGACCATTTGGTTGAGCTGTATTGACTAAGATATATTCGTTACTTTAGGGTCTAACATTCCATCCCGGTTATCTCAATATATATTGAGCAAGTTGGAATGGTAGAAATTTAGTGTCAAAAACTACCTTTAAAACTGCTTTTCTCTTGTCTCAAGTTTGTTCGAATCGGTGAGAAAATGAGTGACATGAATCATCAGGATCAGTCACAGTAGTGCTGGTGCATTCGCTCTTTACGTTTCTCCAGATCTTGAGCTCTGGTATTCTTTCTTATTTTGTATTTTTACACTATATTCCCCAAGTACTATTTCTCATTACCATTAATACAATGATTATTCCTACTCACTTTGTTGATTCTATTTTGTCGTGTTGTGAATACTTGAGTCAACATACATTTATGCCCGACTCTACGTTGATTATGAATGACTGACATATTTTTTAAGTTTCTTCTGGGTAATTAATCATTATACTGTTAAATGAAGATATAAAATTGTGAACCAACCACTTTAAAATGTGTTGTGCTTAAAGACTCCACAGCTTCGGGAGACACCACTGCTCGTGTTAAAAATCGTCCTTGTGTTTAAGGAATCTACCCGGACAACATAATTAAACACATCAATTTGTTTCTATCCAATTTTTTAATTAGTTGATTTATTTGTTATTCTCTTGTTATCCTGTGTCATGTTCATATCGAGCTATCGTGAAATATATATACGTATGTATGGAATTCCGTTTTTACGAGTGTTAGCAATAGTTTTGTCACCTAGCTGCCCACAGCGGTGGTAGGTTTCGCGGGATTCGTACTTGCTACCTAATATGGACTTCGTCTCCATGCTTTAACCACTGAAGTTGCCTCTACAGTTCAGTTCTATTGCCAACGTTTTGTCGTCACATATGACTATCTACACACTGATCACACACATCGAAACTCAATAATGAAGAACACCTATTTTATTACAGTAACACTAAAACGTGTATATACAGCTGAACATTTGAAGATCTCACGTGTGTCAATTGAACTAACAATGTAATTTTTAAATTCATTCATAATTGTTTTGTTTGAATCTTCCCATCGATTTGTTAGGACCGCAACTGGTCAGTCTCTAATTGGCATATGTGCGTATTGCCTCGATATAGCCTTAATTCACAAGCATGGTAAGCAAAGATGGCTATATCGAGGCAATACGCACAGTATGCACATATGCCAATTAGAGACTGACCAGTTGCGGTCCTAACAAATCGATGGGAAGATTCAAACAAAACAATAATGAATGAATTTAAACTTCACCCCATCGCACAAGCAAGTGGCTATCAGGACACAGTGGCCGAGTGGATAACGCGATGGCGTTTGAAGCGAGGGTACTGGGTTCGAGTCCCAGAGTGGACATCATCTCTGAGATGCAGGTACATCCAGCTGGCGAGTCCCGAATAGGACGAAACGCGCGTCAAACTGGATTCCACTGCTAGACACTATCCATCTCTGCTTACAATGTAATTTTTAGTTGAGTGATAGTAGTAAATTGTGGGGATAATTTCATAACAGATTTACGTATCCATTGCAAGGGGTGTGTAAGAATCCTTGAAATTTGGATAAAACACAGCCAAGTACACAGTAGCCCATTTCAATGGTTAGCCATCAGCTATTGTCTCTAATCTGTTACAAAAAGCATCTTCATATTAAATTGATTACTTTAAAATGAAAATTATCTGCAAATTGAACAAAAATTAATTCCTTCAGGATGATTTGTTTTCGTTATTTACTTTTCTCCATGACAATGTTCTTTCGGTATTTTTGTTTTCAAACTTCCTTTCTTTTAATTTTACAGTATGGTTGTCACCGGTTCATATAATAATTATTTTCGTGTTTTTGAACGTGGTACCTCGAACGATCTACTAATGGAAGCATCTCGTGAAGCTATGGAAAATAGTGTATGCGGTAAACTAAAACCATGTCAAGTGATATCTGATGGAACTATCGGAGGTAGCAGTGCCAGTAGTAGTGGTGCTTTCGCCCGATCATGGTCTGAGGGTAAAGTCAATGTAGAATGTATGGATTTAACACGTAAACTGCTTCATTTGTCATGGCACTCAAGTGAATATACTCTAGCATTGGCTGGTACTAGTAGTCTTTACTTACTTGACTACTACCCTAATAGTCGTCAGTCAAGTCATAATTCAATAGAATCACAACGAACTGATCACCTAATGAACGGTGATGTTAATGACAGTGGTAATCATGATGTTAACAGTCATAATAATATTACTTCTACACTGTCTAATTAAACCAATTGTAATATAATTACACTAAAAAATGTAACTCTTTCGTTACCCGTCCCGTTTTTTAAATCCCTCTGTTTCTTTTGAATGCAAATACACACATACTTGTGCACAAATATCGTTCCGCACCTCTCTCCTCTGTGTATATTTTTATTATTTTATAAATTGTATTCACTGTTTATCATTAAATTGCATTTCTAACCTTAAAATTAATGTCTGATTGAAATGTACATTTTTGAGTAGGTGTTAATTTGTATATGTATGCATGTATATTTCTAAGGTTAGCATCAATTGTTATTTTACCTGTAAATCAGAAGTTGACGCTAAACTTTATATATATATATATATATATATATATATATATATATATATATATATATATATATATATATATATATATATATTAGCGATTAGGCAGCAACCCTACATTATTTTGTAGTAAAGGGTACACCTAACCTTTTTTATCTTATCATCTCTTCTCTGTTTGTTTCTGTTCATTTTAATGAATTTAACTCCAGTCTATAATGAGGATGATGTGTAGGCGACACAGCCAATTGCACTGATCTCTTCTACTTCTTTTATTTCATCTCTAATGTTTAGCTTGTCATTATTCGCTTTTATTTGGTTGATGAACAAAAAACTTTGTTCGTGCCCATCCAGTTATAGATTTCAATGTATGTATGTACTACCACTTATCCTTTGATGTTTACAAGTATCTTTCTCCATCGAATTGTTTTTACGGAAATTTTTTTCTCGTACAAATACTGGTTTTTTTCCAGACCTTGTATTCTTTCCAAGTGCTCAATTTCTATCGTCTGTGTGACTTAGTATTACTCAGGTGTTTTTGTTTTCTGTTGTTGTACACTTTGATGTTATTTCGAAATTATTGTCTTATTGAAACATTTTAATATTGTGCATGTGGAGGTGTATATGTGTGTATCCCAGTACTTTCAGTGCTCATTTTCTATTTCAGCTACATTTCATATTTTTTCATTCATTCCTTTGTATTCATCTTACTATTGATATGATGATGAGCAGGAGGACAAGTTGTCTAGCATTCTCTCTTAATTTCCTTGCCAAATAACGAAATATATTCCTATTGATTTTTCTACTACTCCTCTACCATGGATTATTTTATGGGTTTTTAAATCCATCTATCTCTTCCGTAGATATACATACTTATCACTTAGGTGTATGCATCTGCGTATGTATGTGTGCTAGTAGGCAGTCTTCGTTTATATTACAAAACAACAACTAACTTTATCAAAACAATCCCAGGTCCACACTATGTATAATTGACTGACTGAATGTTATCTGTATCACGACAATTCGTGTGTTGATAAACTGTTGGATGTTTCTCTTATTTCTTTTTGAATTTCTGTCTCCCTCACATTTTGTTGTTCCTAAAATCTTTGCTTTTTACATGTGTCTGTGTGTAGTGCACCAAACAACAAAGTTATATCCACACAAAAATGTTTTTATTACTTATCTTCACACGAGATGTATACTATTTCCCACGTATATATGTATTGATTATTGTCGTTGGGTCTTCAACGCTCTATCGTTAAATATTTAAAATTATATACTTCTACAAGTGTTTTACACCATTGTTCTCACCTCTGGGTTACTTACCACTAGTATAAGGTATTTAAATTTCTTTTCGCTCTTAATAAGCAATTATTAATTGGTTAGAGAATAGTTGGCATGAGGTCCTGGACTCAACCTATATTTCATGCTAGTTGACACTTATCAGTAAGACATACGTGGGATTCAGAAAGAATTGCTGTTCCATGTGTGGTCTGAACCCTCCTCACTATCTGGAGAGTTATAATCAAGCTATTCTAGTGGTGACCTATCTGTATTACTTAGATGTTCAAAATTAATCGATCACTGAGTAATGACCAATGTCATTTTAACTCTACCGATAAGATTCGATCATTATCAAGGACTGGGTAAGGACAGCATTGGTTACTACTGGATGATCGGTGAGTTGAAAGTGATAAATACATCTTATTCAAGATAGCTTAATTATCATAAATATGACCTGTTGCATTCGATTGCTTCACCGCTGGTTGGAAACCTCTGCATATTTCAATGTAAGCATATGGATAACAGTAGTTCCTACAAATAAATATGTGGCAGTAGTATCTTCCAAGTAATTGTTTTAATAGCAGTCCTTCTGTTTCTAGATAACAGTCTATTATGTCGAACAAAAAATTGATAAAATAATCTTGGCGTTATTACTATAAAGTTAAGCACGCAGTCTTATTTCCGAATAGTTGTGTACTGGTTTGGTTTATGGCAAAATATTAGTCTCGTGCATTTGGTTATTTTCACAAACATATGTGGTGTCTACTTATGTCCATATAAGTAGTATATGGTGTGGGTCAAACATAGAATGTATTTTTGCAGAAGACCGATGACGAAAGAACTGAAACGAAGCGCAATCGGTAGGAAAATGCACGAACAATGGAATTAGAGAAGAAACAGTGAAGATCGAGACTATTGGTTGTTAATTTGCAAATTGTCTGTACATTTTATGGTTTTCAGAATTTACTGTAATCTTTGCTTAAATACATTCGATTGTCCCCAACTAGTGTTTTGTTCACTACACATATACTTCACAATTGTGTATAGACTTGATGTGTTAGAGCGAAGGTTAATGGAATGGTGGATTATTACAATACATGTTCTTACCCCACAATTACCAAATAATTGGGTTCCGATTATCACAAGCTGTCCTTTACCTCACTATTATTATACGATTTAATATTTCTGCTTTATTGTCAATCAATTATTTACAGAAAGGGTTGTGTGGAGATTTTGGTAATTTTATAGTTAAATTCATGAATCAATTAAAGCTAGACTACCATGGAAACTTGGAAGCACTGGATGGCCGTTTCGACCTATTGTGGGATAGTAACTCACCGGATGTAAAACTTTGATCAGATACAATCATGAATATACATAAAGGTATTTCAGTCATATCTATACAAATATCATATTTCTAAACAAGTCATAGTTTCTACAAAATTTATTCATTTTTATGAGAAAATTTTAAATATATCCATAACTCTGATACCTATCAAGAGTCACGTGAGTGTTTAAACGTGATCAATGTTTTAGAAATACAATACTCTTTTCCCTGTTTCATGTCAAGGTTATCGTGGATCATTGAAAGCACACGGAAATTCCTATGATTCTTTAAGTCGTAAGTTGTCCCATGTAATCATTCTAAGTAATTGTTATTAAATTAATTTGGTTTATCAAAATGTAGTTGGATAAAAGACCAGTTTAACTTATTATCTTTCGTTATTAGTGAGTGGTGGCAATTAGCATCACCTTAAAAGTATGATTATTTAGTGTTGAAAAAGTGTGGAGCCTCCAAACGGTTGTTTGACAGTGAACAACCAATCATAATACCCGAACTCATTACGTTGGTTTATTTGCAAAAGTAAGTGAAGTAATACCCTCTATACACAAAGAAACTTTAGCAGTTTAAAAATCCCTATAGAGTTTTCAAAAAATAAAGAATATTTGAGCGAACACTGCTTTCCAATAATTTTATCATAAGGCTCTGCAGTTATAAGTTCATAATTATGATATTTTTCATAGGCCAAAATAAGGCATACATTCATGAATTTACATGTTTCGTAAACTACATTTATTCTTTAAGAAAATAAAACAGAAAAATCAATGTAAGTGGTGCACAAATAATTCATCATATGGAGTCTTAATAATAATAATAACCTGAAAACACTCGATCAGCATTTTGGCCTAGTATGAGATACAGAACACATTCACGACCCCGTACAATATCGTGGATTGGTTGGATTTAGGCAATAATACCATTGGATGCCGGCCCAGTGTTCTAGAAGTTAGGTATTTGCGCTCGTGACCAGACTAGACTCTCAGATGGATGTGAGGTCGCGGATACGCACTAATGATGATCTTCATACTAAAGTAAAACAGCCGTCCAGTGCTTACAGGTTTCAATGGTATTCTAGACTAGCTCGTAAATTAGAATATATAAATTCTATAATCTCCATGAAACCCTAAATCAGTAATCATTTAATTAGGCTTTGATATGCTGTTTAGTTTGCCACACGTTTTATTAACATTACAATTATGGATTCTGGGTCAATGCATCACGATTAACATAATCTGCCATAAAATTGGTCAGTTTATCACAGATTCTGATCGGTTAAGTTTATGCTTCTTGACATATATTCGACTTATTACTATTTAATAATTTCATTGATTGAATGCTATGACTTGGTGCGACCGTGACCTTGGCAGTCCGTAAACAAATTCTGTGTTAAACAGCCGATTGAGTATAAATGGTGGTTAGATAGACGTACATATACCCTAAACACTTTATCCTACAGAAGTTCAGGTTATTATCATCAACATATATACAATAGCTTCCAAATTAATAAACACGCAGGCACAATCCCAAACGTATGTGGAAGAGAAATCGGAAAAGATATAGAGGAAGGATGAGCCATTCAGAATTAAAAAAACTATTTTTGAGTTTTTCCACGAAATTCAAAGATCAATAACTGTTATCAATCACTACAAAATTTGTGCACAATGCTCAGGAATTTATTATTATCAGGAAAAATTGCTTGTCATCACAGAGTGAAAATAACAATGGTAAACCTATCAAGCGATCATTTTTTTAATATATAGACTATAAAAAGCACGTGAATGAATAAGTATTTGACTCAACTGTGTTCGTTCAGTGTCAAGTTAATTAGACTAGTGGGAAAATCCGAACTAGAATTCAATCATCATCTTAGGTTGAAGAACTTAAAAGTAAATTAAACTGATTTTAGTAAAATTAGGTAGTACCGTCCAGCCAAAGCAACTATAATGTCCTGATCAAATCAACTAAACAGAAAAATGGATATGTTTAATGATAACTGAAGTAGAAATACTGAAACAAACTTCTATGGTCTCTCATTCTATTCGTATTGGGTGACCTTAGATAGATGTGCATTTGTCTACACGTAAAATAACTAAACAAATTCCTGAGTGCACTCAGACAGATCAGTAATAAACAAGCACATCGAAATCAATCCAATTTTTCAAACAATCAGGAAAATTATGCAAAAATATGGGAACAAAAATCAA